ATCTGAACTCTTCAGCAAATAGCTAATGTTATCGCAAATAAACGTAACGCTCACTTTTTGAGCGAATATTCATTTGAGTAATTTTGTCAACTAATCTTTGCAATCATTTGCTAAACTTTGTTCAATTCTAGACCCTGATGACCAGCGGTTAGCGTTAGATTTCTTGAGGCAGGCATGTGTGAATAACTTTGTAAGTTCATTTTTGTCTTCGTTGTTTCATTCTTTCCTCTCTTTCTCGTAATAACCATGTTTTTATGATAGCAATTTATTTTATGGAACTAATTCAAACATTCACTTAATCGTCTATTCCGTCAATTTATTTGTTTTTTAAAATTTCAGCCCGAATTCATCAAGCAGCTCTCATCAGTGCTTTCCAATGTTCAGTGTACGAATTTCGTGAGGCAAGCTGCTGGTTTGCAGTTGAAAAATGTATTGGCGGCCAAGGAGGAGAACACGAAGAATGAGTATCTTCGGAGGTTCGTTACATATTTATTTTGTAATATGCATCACTCTTCTGAACTGTTTTGTAGTTAACGTGTCTGTAAAACAAGAAGACTGTTTTATACACCACATTTAAGATGAAGCTAACCATTGCTTTTGGCTAGTGTTTACGGATTTAGTTCGAGACTAGAGATTGGCTTGGAACTTGTTTACCTCAAATTTACATTGAGCAGTTTCGTATGTATTTTGGAGCAATTTGTTCAGATGGCTGAATCTACCCCAAAATATTCGTCAGTTCATCAAACAGAACGTAGTGCAAACGCTAGGAACGGAGCCATTCCGACCATCGATCGCAGCCCAGTGTGTTGCTGCAATCGCGTGTGCTGAAATACCATCTCAGGTTCATTTCATTGACTGAAACATTAATCGAATGAGGTGCACACTGGTTGGTTGCGAAATGATAAAAATGTGTAAATTTTAGCAATGGCCAGAAGTGATTTCTTTGTTGAAACACAACGTAACGACGGCGTCGAGTAATGAAATGCTTAAAGAATCGTGTTTAGAGGTGAGTATTGTTGATGGTCTTTGTGCGGTTAAATGCCTTCGTTCCATCACGAATGTCTTCATTTGATATCGTTCGTTGTTTCTGAATATTGCTCACAATCAGATAATTATTTGGTCTTGTTTCGATCCTGCATTCAGCTGATGTTTCAAAATCAGCAATTTTATTTTTTGTGATCGTTTCAAGATGTGCTTAAATATTGCAGGCGTTGGGTTATATATGTCAAGATATAAACGCATCAACGCTAGAAGGAAAGGCAAATGAGATATTGACGGCAATCGTGCACGGCATCAGGAAGGAAGAACCGAATCATGTGCGCTTGGCTGCTGCCAATGCGATGTTGAACTCGTTAGAATTCACGAAAAAGAACTTCATTAATGAGGTGCATTATTATTATTATTATTATTATTATTATTATTGTTGTTGTTTGGGTAATAGAATTGATTGTGTATTATTATATTGATATTTTTAATTTAAGGATGAACGAAACGTGATAATGCAAATGGTTTGTGAGGCAACGCAGTGCCAAGAGACACCAGTGAAGGTTGTTGCGATGCAGTGTCTTGTCAGAATTATGTCACTTTATTACATCTACATGGAACAGTACATGTACGCTCTCTTTCCGGTAGGTTTTCGTGTTGGGTTGGGTTTTTGGAATGTTTTGCGGGATTTTTGTGATATTTATGATGGCGATGTGTTTGTGTTTAGATAACAGTGAATGCGATGAAGATGCAAATCGATGATGTTGCACTGCAAGGCATCGAGTTTTGGTCGAATGTTTGCGAGGAAGAGATCGCGTTGTCCGTGGAGGCCGAGGAGGCACAGGAACGTGGAACGACACCTGAACACGTCTCGAGACATTATGCCAAAGGTTCGGTTGATTTGGAGATTAATCCGGAGTAGTTGCTAAAATTATTGCTTGTTTATAAATATTATAATATTGTTAATATTATTGTGATTAGTTTCTAGTATTGCTAATATTATTGCTACTGCTAATATATTTATAATAGTTGCTAATATTATTGTTTATAAAGGAGCGTTGCCGCACCTGATCTCGATCCTCACCGAGACGTTAGCAAAACAAGAAGAAACAGATGACGATGACGATTGGAATCCAGCAAAGGCGTCGGGGGTTTGTATAATGCTGTTGGCGCAGTGCACTGGGGATTCGATTGTCGCCCATATTCTGCCTTTCATTCAACAGCACTTCAAAAACACCAATTGGAGGTGAGTTCGAAGGGTTTGATCGTTGGCTCGTTTGCCTTTCGTTTAGTGAATTTGGCCGA